CCCCCCCCAAAAAAAAGAAAGAAAACAGAAGCCAGGTGCCACCAGTGGCTCACGCCTGTAATCCTAGCTACTAAGGAGGCTGAGATCTGAGGATCATGGTTCAAAGCCAGCCTGGGCAGAAAAGTCTGTGAGACTCCTATCTCCAATAAACTATCAGAATACTGGAAATGGTGCTGTGGCACAGGTGCTAGCCTCAAGCTGAAGAGGTGAGGGACAACACCCAGGCCCAGAGTTCAAGCCTCATGACAGACAAAAACAAAACAAAACAAAACAAAGAAAGAAAACAGAGCCAAAGGTAGGTAGAGTCAGGTAGGAGCTTAGCTAATGGTTCTGGAATGAGACTCAAGAATTGGAGATGGGCACTGGCGGCTCATGCCCGTAATCCTAGCTACTGAGGAGTCTGAGATCTAAGGTTTGCAGTTCAAGGCCAACCATGAGCAGGAAAGTCTGTGAGATTCTTTTTTTTGTCAGACGTGGGGGCTGAACTCTGGGCCTGGGCGCTGTCCCTCAGCTCTTCAGCTCCAGGCCAGCACTCTACCACTTGGGCCACAGCACCACTTCTGGCTTTTTCTGTGTTTGTGTTACTGAGGAATTGAACCCAGCGCCTCATACATGCAAGGTAAGCACTCTACCACTAAGCCACATTCCCAGCCTGAGACATTGATTCTTTAAAGCACCACACAGGTCTGGAACCATGAGTTTAGACTTGGCAACTCCAGCAAACGTGGTGATTGGCTGGGCATGGAGTTGACAGTCAGATGGCAGAGTACTGCTGGCCACCAGGAAAGGGAGAAACAGAGTTGGCTCATGCCAAGCTACTAGGCCTCTGTGGGATTCTGTCCCTATTATTACGGTTTAAATTTTGTCTTAAAATTCCCAAGATTAGCTCTGGGCTTCATCTGAAGGGACTGCCCTCCCCTCGCCCCCCAGGAAGAGAAAAATCTTGGCACATAGTATTAACCCCTCCACCCCAGCCCAACCCTGAGGCGATTTCAACTACCTTTAAGGTCTTCAGCAAGGCCTCTGGATCTGCATCGGAGATATCTGAAATCTAAGTCCACAGAAGGTGAGGATAAGCCGAGGGGCTGGTGGCTCACGCCTGTAATCCTAGCTACTCAGGAGGCTGAGATCTGAGGATCGCAGTTCAAAGCCAGCCCGGGCAGGAGAGACCGTGAGACTCCCGTCTCCAATAAACCACCAGAAAACCGGAAGTGGCGCTGTAGCTCAAGTGGTAGAGCGCTGGCCTTGAGCTGAAGAGCTCACAGACAGCGCCCAGGCCCAGAGTTCAAGCCCCACGACCGACCAAAAAAAAAAGAAGGTGAGGATACAGACTGACGTGAGTCAAGGCCCAGCAACACTAAGGGCTGCAGCCCCTTGTCGCCTTGTTTCTGTGGGAGCAGATGGCTCAGCAGGGGCAGAATTCTGCCAACAGGACATAAACCTGCCTCAGGTTTTAGCTATTGTTTAAATTCAAACCTGCCAGCTATGGAGACCCAGAAAGTGCTACCACTTGTCTGTTCCTCTTAAATGGAGAGATATATCCATGCTGGAATGGGCCCTAGTCATGCTAATTTCCAGTCATATGACCAAAGAGTATGCAATTTTTAATGCAAAGGGTCAACATCAAACTTGCAGAGTTTGGAGAGCTTTGCTTTCGAGCTCATTGTTGCTTTATGAGCCAAGTGACCTCCAAAAGTGTCTATGAGCAGCTCCTTGCTCTCCACACTAATCTCATGCTCTTGGGGCTAAGCAGGGGGCCAAGGATGGGAAATGGGCCACACTCACCCCCGCATCAGCTCCTGCCAAGTCTTCCTGGGTGCCAAAGACATTGTCTCCTTGGTGGGACCTGCAAAGGGGTGGATCAGCATTGACCTGCATGCCTGGGGCAGTAGGTAATTCTAGAAAAAGGAAGAAAAAGCTGGGTGCTTGCTGGTGGCTCACGCCTGTAATCCTGGCTACACTGGAGGCTGAGATCTGAGGATCGTGGTTCAAAGCCAGCCTGGGCAGGAAAGACCATGAGACTCTTATCTCCAATAAACCACCAGAAAACTGGAAGTGGCACTGTGGCTCAAGTGGTAGAGTGCTAACCTTGAGCTGAAGGAACAGTGCCCAGGCCCAGAGTTCAAGCCCCACGATCGACACACACACACACACACACACACACACACACACACACACACAAAAGAAAAAGGAAGAAAAGAGGAATAGGGGCATAGTAGAACATGTACTGAGCATGTGAGGGGTCTCTATATGACTTTGATCTCAGTACCATAAAAAAAAACAAAAACAAAAATAGGCACTGGTGGCTCATGCCTGTAATCCTAGATACACAGGAGGCTGAGATCTGAGGATCATGGTTCAAAGCCAACCCAGGCAGGAAAAGTCTATGAGACTCTAATCTCTAATAAACAGCCAGAAAACCGTAAGTGGCACTGTGGCTCAAGGGGTAGAGCATTCACCTTGAGCTAAAGAACTGGGGATAGCACCCAGGCCCAGAGTTCAAGCCCCATGACTGACTTAAAAAAAAAAAAAAGAGTGACTTAAAAGAGTCAAAGTGACCTTGGAGAGATTTGTACTTGGGGATAGGCCATGTCATATAGTTCATTTTTTTTTTCCAGTTCTGGGGTTTGAACTCAGGGCCTGGGCACGGTCCTTGAGCTTCTTTTGCTCAAGGCCAGCACTCTACCTCCTGAGCCACAGAGCCCCCTTTGGCTTTTTTTGTTTATGTGGTATTGAAGAATCAAACCCAGGGTTTCATGCATGCTAGGCAAGTACTCTTCCATTAAGCCACATTCCCAATCCCCCTTTTTTTTTTGTTGGTCATGGGGCTTGAACTCAGGGCCTGGGCACTGTCCCAGAGCTGTTTTTTTTTGCCCAAGGCAAGTGCTTTACCACTTTGAACCATAACTACTTTCATTTTTTTTGGTGGTTAATTAGAGATAAAAGAGTCTTGCAGGGCTGGGAAGGTAGCTCAGTGGTAGAGTGCTTGCCTTGCATGGATGAGACCCTGGGTTCAATTCCTCAGCACCACATAAGCAGAACAAAAAAAAAAGCCGGAAGTGGCGCTGTGGCTCAAGTGGTAGAGTACTAGCCTTGAGCTGAAGAGCTGAGGAACAGCGCTCAGGCCAGAGTGGTAGAATGCTTGCCTTGCATGCATGAGGCTCTGGGTTCGATTCCTCAGTACCACATAACCAGAAAAAGCCAGAAGTGGTGCTGTGGCTTAAATGGTAGAGCACTAGCCTTGAGCTGAAGAGCTGAGGGACAGTGCCCAGGCCCATAGTTCAGGCCCCACAACCGACAGGGAAAAAAAAGAAAAAAAGAAAAGAAAACAATCCAGGCACTAGTGGCTCATGCCTATAATCCTAGCTACTCAGGAGGCTGAGGATCATGGTTTATAGCCAGCCCAGTCAAGAAAGTCTGTGAGACTCTATCTCCAAGAATGCCAGAAGTAGAGCTGTGGCTCAAGTGGTAGAGTGCTACCCTTGAGCAAAAGAAGCTCCAGGACAGCATGCAGGTATTGAGTTCAAGTCGCAACAAAAACAAAAACAAAAAACAGAGTTAAAAACAAAAGGTAAGAGGAAACAACTGCTCTAGCCTAAATGAATGCTGAGGATGGAGTATCTCAAATCTTCCTTTCACTCATCTGTCAAGGTCAGTTCTCTTTCCATTACCCTGGGAATGGGAGCTGAAGGGAGAACTTCCTGACAGTAACCATGCGTATGGGACACCTGGAAAGTGAGACAGTACAGGGTGGCAGGGTAGCAGGCATTAGTCTGAAATGAGCCGTTGATCCTTAGGCCAACCTGGTGCTTACCTTGCCCTTGTCTTTGAAGGGAGCCCCTGAGGTACACCTGTCATGTCTTTGGCATTTGAGGCTGGTCCAACAGGCTTCTCAGGGGGTATCACTGAAACAAAGAAAACAGAAATGGTATCACTGAATTACAGAACACCACAATGCTAACAGTGCTGGTGGCTCATGCCTGCAACCCTACCTACTCAGGAGGCTGAGATCTGAGGATCAAGGTTCAAAGCCAGCCTGGCAGGAAAGTGGAAGAGACTCTTATCTCCAATTAACCACCAGAAAACTGAAATTGGAGCTGTGGCTCAAAGTGGTAGTTCTAGCCTTGAGCAGGGATGGCGCCAGGCCATGAGTCCAAGCCCTATCGCTGACAAAAAAATAAAAAAACAGAAATAGATCAAGACCTGGGGCTGGAGAGAAGGGTACTTACAGTCATCCCCCAGGAGGTCACTGAGGACATCATCAATGGAGCCTAGAACACAAAAGGACCATCTTGACTTCAGGAAGAAAGAAGAGTTACACTTACAAACCTTGAACCTGCCTCTCCCTCCTCCATCCCAGAGCACAGAGCCTTCACATGTTGGGCCTTAGGCTTAGTTTTGCCTTTAATGCTGCAAGGTGTTGGCTAACTTCTGGCAACCTGGAAGTGGAGCTGTGGCTCAAAGTAGTAGAGCGCTAGCCTGAGTGATCAAATACCCAGGCAGGAATTTCTTTCTTGGCTGGGTGCTAGTGGCTCACGCCTATAATCCTAGCTACTAAGGAGGCTGAGATCTGAGGATCCCAGTTTGAAGCCAGCCTGGGCAAGAAAGTCCATGAGACTCTTATTTCCAATAAACTATTTAAAAAAAGCCCGAAGTAGCCAGGCGCTGGTGGCTCACACCTGTAATCCTTCAGCTCGCCTGGAGCTGAAGAGCACAGGGACAGCGCCCAAGTCCACAGTTCAAGCCCCACGACCGCCAAAAAAAAAAAAAAAGCCAGAAGTGGTGTTGTATATCAAATGGTAGAGTGCTAGCCTTGAGCACAGAGAGGCTCAAGGACAGCACTCAGGACCCCAGTTCAAATCCTAGGACTGCAAAAAAAAAAAAAAGAGAGAAATTTAACTTTCCTGGCTGCTGGTGGCTCACGCCTGTAATACTAGCTTTCAGGAGGCTGAGATCTGAGGATCATGGTTCATAGCCAGCCTGGTCAGGAAAGTCTGTGAGACTCTTATCTCCAATTAACCACCGGAAAACTGGAAGTGGCGCTGTGGTTCAAAGTAGTAAAAGCATGCTTTGAGTGAAAAGCTCAGGGACTGTGCCCAGGTACTCAGCTCAAACACAACTAACAAAAAAAAAAAAAAAACTTTCCCTAAGGATGATGATTTTTCAGTAGATTCATTCTCTGTACCATACACTACCTACCAATCAGAATTCCTGACTCTCAAAAAGCCCAGCCTGTGCTGGTTGCTCAAAGCTCAGTACCAGCAATCAGCCTCCTAACTCAGCCTCCTAACTACTCAGGAGGCTGAGATCTGAAGATCACAGTTTAAAGCCAGTCTGGGCAGAACAGTCTGTGAAACTTCTCTTCAATTAACCACTTAAAAACCAGAAGCAAAGCTGTGGTAGAGCACTTGCTGAGCATGAAAGCTCAGGGACAGTGCTCAGGCCCTGAGTTCAAGCAAGACCAGACTAGGCCCTTCCCCCCCCCCAAAAAAAAAAAGTCTCACAGACTTTCCTGTCTGGGCTGGCTTTGAACTGTAATTCTCAGATCTCAGCCTCCTAGATAGCTTAGATTACAGGTGTGAGCCAGCAGCTCCCAGTTTCATATTTATTTCTGAATTTCTCTGAAGAGTAAAGAAAAAGCAGGAAGAGGCCCCCCAAGGAGAATAGGCAGCTTACAGGAGAAACTGCAAGCCTCTAGCCAAGAACTGAAAAACAGACATGACTAAATGAGTTCACAGCCCAAGGGCAAAAAAAAATAATCTGTATTCAACTTAAGAGTGATTGATAGATGTTCTACTTCTCCACTCACCTCGGAATCCCTTCTTAGCTCTTAGTGCCTAAAATGGGGAAAACAAATCATTAACAAAATCCAACAGTGAATGTGTTAAAATTGGAAATGAGAATCAATTGTTTTACCATTTGCCAAGTCAGCAGAGGAAAGAGCACCAATGGCATTTAGAGACAGAAGTTCCTTTATGTTTTCCTAGAATTCCTGATAATGGACTTATTCAGGACATGGAAACAATCCTTACTAATCAGCAGCAGTGCCAGTGGGTGGACATAAAATCTCTTCCCAGATTTTTAGATACCACATTTGCTTCGAGTCCACACACCTGACTCACAGTGATGGGTATATAAAAACACTACCAAGCTACATGATTAAAGGCTCAGGAGAAACCTTGCTCACATCAATGTTACTTCCCATTATTCTTCTCTGAGGACCATATCCTCATTCTTGACACTGGACTCTCAGAGTATTCTATGAAGTCAGAAATGTTCAGAGTCCAGGGGTGAAGTGGAGGGTGGTGACATTTCCACACATCCTCCTCTACATGCTGCCTACCATTTCTGAGCCCTGGAGATTTCTTGCAGCTCTTTCAGGGTACTGTCCAGCTCATTTGACTTCTGCCCACACGGTCTCATATTCCCTAATGGGGAAAATTAAAGTGGTTGTTTAAAAATGATGTAGTTTGGGGTGGGAATGTGGCTTAGTGGTAGAGGGCTTGACTAGCATGCATGGAGCCGTGGGTTGGATTCCTTAGTACCACCTACACAGAAAAAGCCAGAAGTGGCACTGTGGCTCAAGTGGTAGAGTGCTAGCCTTGAGCAAAAGAAGCTCAGGGACAGGGACAATGCCTAGGCCCTGAGGTCAAACTCCAGGATTTGGGGGGGGGGGGAATGTAGCTGGCTAGGTGCTTGAAATCTTAGGTATTCAGGAGGCTGAGATCTGAGGATCATGATTTGAAGCCAGCCAGGGCATGAAAGTCCAATTAACTATTAAAAAACAACAACAACAACAACAAAAAAAAACCCAGGGGCTCGGAAGGTGGCTCAGTGGTGGAGCGCTTGCCTTGTATGCATGAGGCCCTGGGTTCGATTCTTCAGCACCACATAAACAGAAAAAGCTGGAAGTGGCAACAGGAAAAAAAAAAAAAAAGCCAGAAGCAGAGGTGTGGCTCAAGTTGAAGAGTGCTAGCCTTGAGCAAAAAAAGCTCAGGGACAGCATCGAGGCCTTGAGTTCCAGCCCCAGCACCACCAGCTCCAAAAAAGAAAGAAAATGAAAAAGGCTCCTTCCATTGAGAAGGGTTTTCCTCAGAATTTGCTTTCCCTTCCCCTCTTCCAGGTAGAGAGGAGGCAGAGGGGCTCAAATCCTTCCCCCGTGGGCCCGTCCCGTCAGGAGATGCGGAATGACTGGGGTGAGGCGGCGGCGGGCGAGGCTGCGGGTCTGTGTGTGCAACCAGCTGAACGAGCTCCGGCTCACCACACTCCTACCCACCCGTCCGGGCCCAACCCCCGGCCCCCGCGGGCGGTATTTCCTAGCAGCGGGGGTTCACGTCGGGGCATCCCAGCGACGCCGCCGCGGTGCCAGACGTTCTTTCAATTCCCCAGCCCGTCCCCAAGCCGGAGCCATCCCGTCCCCCTGAACCCTCCCCAGTGCCTCGCGACCCCGCTCTGCGCACCCAGCCAGCCTCGACGGGTGCAGCCTGTGGTCCTCCAGCCCACCCCGTGTTCCCGTTAAGCGCCGACCCCTCGAGGGCACGGTCGTCGGGCCCCCGGCCCTGCCCGAGCAGCGGGTTCCGACTTCACTCGGGCCGCCCAGCTCCGTCAGGTTTCCGCCCCGCGCCCCGGACGTCAGCTTCGCGGTCTCCGGCTTCCCGTAGAAGGCGGAGCGAGGCACCCTGGGAGTTGTAGTCCTCTGACCGATCACCCACGGGCCTGGGGCGCGGAAGAGAACTACCTTTCCCAGTGCGCCCTGCGACGGCCATTTGTGAATGGCTCTGCGTGTTGCTAGGCGCCATCCACATGCCTCTTTTCCCGCACTAGTGGGACTGAGGCCGACGGGGCTGGGGAGGAAAAGGTGGCGCTTTGCTCTTCCGAGCGGACCCGTGGCGGCGTCGGAGGACCCGAAGTGTATGCTAACGGTGGGTTGGCGAGTAAGTCCACAATCACGTATTTATCCCTCACCAAGATTAAGAGGGAATGGGCTGGGAAGTGGCTCAGTGGTAGAGCGCTTGCCTTGCAAGCCTGAGGCCCTGGGTTCGATTCCTCAGCACCACATAAGAAAAAAGGCCGCAAGTGGCGCTGTGGTTCAAGGGGTAGAGCTGAGGGACAGCGCCCAGGCCCAGAGTTCAGGCCCCACCCCCCCCCAAAAAAAAAAGATTAGGAGGGAAGTGACTGTAATTTGATCAAGGCTGTGGTGGGAACAAAGCCCGGGACATAACGGCAGAAAGGCACGGGCAGTTTCTTGGATTTTGTTAAGGATTCCCTCATCTCACAAAGGGAAGGACTATGGCTTGGCTTATTGGCCAGCTATCCAGTGCTGGAGGGCCAAGGCTGTCCAACCGGGATTCACCGGCCTCCCCTGAGTTCCCTCTCCTGGTCCCATCCCCGACGTCCACGTTTCGTCAGGCCAGGGTTGGGTAATCACGCTAAATGCGTCTTGTCAGTAGAACCAAACATGCCATAAAGTATTTACCCACCCCAAAGAAAGCAGTGGGAAATAAAGTTTTGGGTTGAAAAACTCTTAACATCATTCCTAATTTTCCTTTAAATTTAAGGTAAAACCAAACCAAAACATTATTGTTGCAACTGCTAACAAGTAGTATTTGTTAAAGCAAGGTCCTCTGCATGCCTTTTATCATGGACCAGAGGAATATTGAGGAATTTGTGTTGACAGCTAAAATCAAAGCCTCACCAGTATTCCAGTATCCCCTCTCCCCCGCCTCCCCGGGCATCCTGGGTCTTGAACTCAGGGCCTAGAGACTGTCCCTGGGCTTCCTCTGCTCAAGGGTAGCAGACCTTGACGCTTAAGCCACAGTGCCACTTGTGGCTTTTCATCTGAGGAATGGAACCCAGGGCTTCATGCATGCGAGGCAAGCCCTCTACCACTAAGCCACATTCCCAGCCCACCAGCAATATTTTCTAAATGAAGTAATTTACAGTATAACTTGTTCTAATCCCAAGACTGGAGCAGTAATTAGCTGCATTATTTCATAAATATTGGTCTCATCATAATGGATTTTCTAGCACAGCTCCTCTCCCCAGCTACTGCTCCAGGCATACCCTACGTGTACAAGGAGTGTGGGCTCTTACAGACCCTGTGAATCTAATTCACTTCCTTCCTAGTAGGATGGATGGTAAGAACCCAGGAAATGGGGAGGAAAAACAGTGGCAAATATCTAAGCAGAGAACTCTAGAATGATTAATTTGGAGTTCTATTTCCCTGGACAAAGGTTTGAAGGAAATTCAATTAAGATCTAACAAGTTAGCTTTAGGACTATAAAATACTGCCAGGTATTAGGTGCATTTTCCTACAGAAAATTATGTGAGCCCAGGTGTGGTGGCTCACACCTATAATCCTAGCTACTGAGAAGGCTGAGATCTGAGGATTATGGTTCAAAGCCAGCTGGGGAAGGAAAGGCCGTGAGACTCTAATCTCCAATAAACCACTCAGAAAACTGGAAGTAGTGCTGTGCCTCAAGTGGAAGAGTACTAGCCTTGATCTGAAGAGCTAAGAGACAGTACCCAGGCCCAGAGTTCAAGCCCCATGACCAAAAAAAAAAAAGTTATGTGAGCATTGTTAATTTGCAGCTAAGCGTGTTCTGAAGGTAAGTTGATACTCACCAGCTGTTCTGAAGACAAGAACACGAAGGCCCTTCCTCTACCCCCTTCTCGAAGGCCCTTCCTCTACCCCCTTCTCCCCATGACTTTGGGACCAACTGTGGTTTGAGGTTACCAATGTGCAAGCTAATAGAGCACAAACTAGATAGAGTCCCAAATACATGAAGGCTTGACCTTCATCCATTATATACAGCAAACACATCTCTAATAAACCTTGAATTATCAGTTTTATATATTGTGCAGTATACTTTTTTTCTTTAAAGATTCAGGGTTCCCTAACAGAAAAATATAATTCTACTTACAACTGCTACTTGTTCATATAGGTCTTCTTCCATTTTATGTTCACAGTGTCACCTAAACTGAGTAAACTTGTATTTTAAATTTCCTCATAATTTAAACTTAGTTTAATTGTGCCAGGTGCTGGTGCTTACACCTGTAATCCTACTCAGGAGGTTGAGATGAGACTGCAGTTCAAAGCCAACCTGGGCAGGAAAGTCCATGAGATGCTTTTCTTCAATTAACCACTCAAAAACTAGAAGTGGTGCTGTGGTTTAAGTGGTAGAGCCCTGGCTTTGAGCAAAAGAGCTAAGGGACAGTGCCCAGGCCCAGAGTTCAAGCCCTGGGACCAGCAAAAAAAGTAAATAGCTTATTTGTGTGGTATGCTCTTTCTCAGTAGTACAAATCAGTGAGGTTTTACTATACCTTTATTCTTTGATTACACTGAAAAAAATCCAAGACAAAACATTCCAATGTTAATAAAAATACTAACATCAAATGTTGGATTTAGTTTTAAAATAAAACGAGGTGCTAAATCAAGGACAGCTCTATAGTGTGTACAACCTGCTAAGATAGATCCTAGACCTAAGCAGCTGGGTTAGTTAGGTGTATCAGTTCAGAAACATCAGATGCTGCCCACAAATAAGCATCTGTGAGAACTGTATTTGAACAGTGACTGTGAGATGATTATACAGAGAACAGGTCAACATGGTCATTTAACTACTATCAGCACACACCCAAATGGGTGACACCATGCGAATCTCCAGTCCTATCCCGAGTCTCAGTTCTCCCAGGAGAAAGATGAAGGCCAACAAACACGATTTCTGCCATAACCTAAAGTATCACATCACCAGCTCCTCTAGAACAGAGTTTATGTCAGGCCCCAGGTCAGAAAATGGTTTCTGCTGAATTGTATTCTCAGAACTGATAATAGGACTGGTTTCATGAGGCAGTTATCACACATGATCATTAACAAGTTAAAAAAACCCAAGTAGTGTTTTACATTGATTTTCAGAAAAAACATTCATCAAAAGGTAGATAGTGGCTGGGTGTTGTATCACACATCTCCGAAGGATGTTAAGAGTTCCAGTCTAGCCGGACCACATAGTAATAAGTCCCTATGTCAAAAACCAAAAACCTTTAAACATAGAAGGATTACATAGATTTCAATCGACAGACAATTTAGCATAAAAGCTCCTAGAAACAAAGCCAGAAGCTCAATAACAAGGTATTTCCAATCATTTAGTCATACTTTAATGTTTACATTTTTCTGATCCAAAAATCAGAACACATGGTTTCCATGGAAGAATTTTTTTTTCTGTATCATTTCTGGGTGTAAGATGTTTTCATTTTTTTAAAAGTAATTTTACTTTTATTATTAAGGTGTTGTACAGAGTGGTTACCATTTCATAAGTCAGGTAATGTTTTCACTTTTTTAAATGCCAAACACCATGTAACCATTATTTTAATGGTTATGCCAAGATGACTGAATATTGAAAATCTGGATTGTCTCAGGAAATTTAGTAAGGTCACCAAAATTACTTAAGTATCACAGCTGAGGGCTTTTCCCTATACTTATTCTACTAAGATGGAATTATTGGGGATGGGGGAGAAAGAGAGGAAGGAAATCAAATACCACTGATGGAAGGCCCAGCAAAGGTCAAAAGCTAGATTTTGAGCCAACTGTTCTGAACTGTGCAAGAAGCTGGGGACAAAAAGTGTACAGGGCTCCTATAGAAACAATAGAATTCCTGAAGGGAATACCTTCAGGAGCTGTGGGTGCTGCAGTGTGTGGAGATCTTGTTGGAAAATGTTAGTATGACAGCAGCAATGCTTCTGCAGAGAAGGGAAGCAGGCAGAAAACACACCCTCGGGTTAAGGTTTCCAGTTACTTTCTTTCCCACAATTTTCTTCAGTATTGCCTTTAACCAGGCCCCATGGTTGGAGTGGTAAGTCATTTGATAGGGAAGATCTACTGCACATAAAATACCTTTGTTTAAAAACACCTACAGAACCAGCGATTAGCAATCAAAATGTGAAAATAATTAGTATTTAGTAGTTAAAATCCTACTAATGATAAAAAATCATGGCCTACCAGTAGGCACTACTAGCAGCATTTCAAGTGGAAGCTATCATGCTGCGTATCTTAAACTTTCTGAGTGCTTAGCAAGTCTCTTTCAGTGTTAATTGCACTTAAACACATGATTTTTTAAAATTTAATCTCTGAAATCTGTTTATCTTAAAAATTTATATAAAGAAGATAGAGGTCAAGTCACTACTAGTTCTACAGTTCTATGAATTTGATAAAGATTCCACGTAGATCTGTGCATCAGGTAGGAGGAAGCAGCATACAGATGCTTTCTGGAGCACAATGAGCTTCAAAGTTTGGACTGCAGTGGCTTCAGGTGCTTATGGTAAGATTCGTGGACCTAGAGGGAAAGGTAAGAGAGGAAACATTGGTAAACAGCTTGCCATGTGTAAGAACATACTAATTTTTTGTGAGTCAGCACTGGAGCTCGAACTCAGGATTTTGAACTCTTCTTCAGGTTTTTTTTGCCCATGGCTGGCATTCTACCAGTCACACCACATCTTTTATGCTTGCTTAACTGGACATAAAAGTCTTGAGGACTGCCCTGGCTGGTTTTTAATCTCAATCCTTAGATCTAAATTTTTTGATAGCAAGGATAATAGGAGTGAGCCACTAGTGCTGGACTAAAATGACATACTTTTTTTTTTTTTGGTCAGTCATGGGGCTTGAACTCAGGGCCTGGGCACTGTCTTTGAGCTCCTTTTTGCTCAAGGCTAGCTCTCTACCATTTTGAGCCACAGGACCACTTGCAGTTTTCCGGTGGTTAATTGGAGATAAGAGTCTCACAGACTTTCCTGCCTGGGCTGTCTATGAACCATGATTCTCAGATCTCAGCCTCCTGAGTAGCTAGGATTACAGGTGTGAGCCACCAGTGTGCAGAGGGTAAGTTAAATTTCTTTTGCCAGTCACAGGGCTTAAACTCAAGACCTGGGCATACCGCCATGCTTGGCTCCCCAAGAATTGTTGTAAAAACACAGAATGAAAAACAAAAACAAAAAACAAACCTGAGTTCAAATCTAAATATCAATGGGATATTTTATGATAGTTAACTGGTATTGTGCTTGTTTTTAAAGTCTGTATATTTTAGAGTTATGTATTACAATATGTATGGTTTGGGTTTTTTATTTTTAAAGACAATCCCCAGGAAGTGGAACATAGAGGAGGTGGCAATGGAGGATTCTCATCAAACATGCTGCAATGATTTTAAAGCTAGACAAAGGGTACATGGAAGCACACTGAGGTATCTTGACTTTTGCACGTTTGAAAATGTTCAATTAGGGGGGGCTGGGAAGGTGGCTCAATGGTAGAGCTCTTGGCTTGCATGCATGAGGCCCTGGGCTCGATTCCCCAGCACCACATAAGCAAAAAGAAAAAAGCCGGAAGTGGCGCAATGGCTCAAGTGGTAGAGCGCTAGCCTTGAGCTGAGGAGCTGAGGGACAGTGCCCAAGCCCAGAGTTCAGGCCCCACAACTGGACCCCCCCAAAAAAAACAAAAAAAAACCCAAAATGTTCAATTAGGAATATTTAAGAAAAAATTCAAACCCTAGCCGGGTCCTGGTAGCTCACACCTATAATCCTAACTACTCAGGAGGCTGAGATCTGAGGATTGCGGTTCAAAGCCAGCCCAGGTAGAAAAGTCCCAGTGAAATTATTATTATTTTTTTTTGGGGGGGTCTGGTCATGGGGCCTGAACTCTGGGCCTGGGCGCTGTCCCTCAGCTCTTCAGCTCAAGGCTAGCACTCTACCACTTGAGCCATAGCACCACTTCCGGCTTTTTTCTTGTTGCTTATGTGGTGCTGAGGAATTGAACCCAGGGCCTCATGCATGCAAGGCAAGTGCTCTACCACTGAGCCACCTTCCCAGTCCCCCAGTGAAATTCTTATCTCCAATAAACCACCAGAAAACTGGCAGTGGTGCTGTGGCTCAAGTGGAAGAGTGCTAGCCTTGAGCTGAAGAGCTGAGGGACAGCGCCCAGGCCCAGAGTTCAAGCCCTACTTATTGCTGGAATAATCCAGATCTCTTTGAACTTCTTGAGTGGATAAAGACACTGTCATAAGTGGCCACAGGGCTTTCAATGAATAACTGCTTTCCTGAGGCCTTTCCCGCCTCATATTTCAGTGAAGAGGACTGGAAGGATAGCTAGCTATATGTCAGAGCAGTTGCTTAACATGTACAAGGCCCTAGGTTCCATCCCCAGAACCACAAAATGTGAAGAACTCACAAAGTAGCAAGACATTTTTTTTTTTTTACCTCTGTTTTGTTCAGGGGGGATCGCTTGGCCCACTCAAACAAATTATCATATACATTCCCATCATAGCGGCCGAGAATAGAGCCAAGGGTCATATCCTTAAAATCAAAGGCATCAACCAAAGCAACAGCATTGGGGCGAATTTCAGTGAGTAACTCCATTATACGCTGGTTTACTTGTTCAATCTGAGACACTGTTATAATATTCCCCTAGAAGAAACCCAAATAAATAAATTAATAAAATACAGAGATACATTTCTACACATAAAACTATAAAAGAAATAAAAATTATTTTTCTTAACAACAAAATAAGGGGGGTGGGAGGGATGGGAAGGGGAAACAAAGGAGGCTACAATGCTTGATAAGAAATGTACTCATTATCTTGCCTATGTAATTGTAACCCCTCTGTATAGTATTTTCACAATAAAATAAATAAAAAGAAAATCTGAAAAAAGAAAAAAAAAAGAAAAAACAAACAAACAAAATAACTTTCTAGAGAATACTGACCTGAAGGAAATCTCCTGACTTCTGACTGATTCCATACAGAGAATACAAGAGACATAAGTTCTTTAAGACAAGTTTGATGGATTTTTCTTGAATGTTGAGTAGATTTTCTGCAAAGATCTTAACGATCACATAGTGGCAATGCGCCTAGATAGAAAGCAAACAATGAATGCAGTGTGAGACCACCACAATAGGAGAGCAGGCAGGCAGGAAGAGGAGAGAACCACCATTCACCTCACTTGCTCGAACAAGGTCAACGGAAGTTAGGTTCCATGCCACCTCCTTGTTTTTCCTGTGACTCTGTGCAGTCTGAAGGTTTTTAGCAGCCATTTCTACAAGTCTGTTAAGAAATCAAGGAAAAGGGAGCTAAGGAAAATGACCCCCAGAAGCCGGGCACAGTGGCTCCTGCCTATAATCCTCTCTAGTTAGAAGGCTGACATCTACAGATCACAGTTAGAAGCCAGCCTGAGCAGGAAAATCTATGAGATTCTTATCTCCAGTGAACCACCAGAAAACAGAAAGTGGTGCTCTGGCAAAGTGGTAGAGCACTAGCCTTGAGTGAAAAAGCTCGGGGACAGCGTACAGGAGTTCAAGCCCCACAACCAGCAAAATAAAAGTAAAAGGAAAATGACCTCAAGTTCCCAAGCCTACTCTCATCTACCAGGCCCCAAACTCAGAGGCTTCGGGGCTGGGTGAACTTACCTGGATGCACGGAGCTTATAAGCCTCAGTCAGGCTTTCGGGACTGTTGATGTCTATCACAGTCGGCCAGGCTGCCACCTGCTGCGGCTGGATGCGCTGGCTGGGTAGGTCATTCAAGTAGGACACTGTGCCACAAACCAACTTCCCTGAGATCACCTGATTATAGCTTTTCATTAAGAACCTAAAAGTCACCAGAACACATGCTTTTAGTAGTAATTCTAAGCCTAAAATGACTTCACAGTAAAATTCTATTCCTGAATGGTTTCATGTCCTGTGACAGGTGTTTCATACTTACCAGACTGACCTAGAAGATCAAAACACTGAGTCAGAGGGGGTTAGGCTGCACCTAACTATGGTACACTGGATGCACATATGACCATGTCCAAGTATCAACCTCCTTGTATGACTGAGGCTAATAAAAATGCAAAACCCAATGAACCTGGGTTAGGAAAACTAGCAAATCTATGCCTCACATGTGATAAGAGAAGCCACAGGGCAAGAGCAATCAGTGAAAACTGGTGGGGCTATTATGGATTTTGTTCTTACCTGGCCATCTGTAGTAGCATGACTGTGTTTTCTCCCTCGAAGGTGCAGGCTGGGGTGAAAGTGACATAAATATTGGGAATACCACTGCAATGAGAATAGCCATGCCCACCACAAGCCATCCGACACTCTTCGATACCAGCATTTGCTCTCCAGGTGGTGAAGGCCTTAAGCCCAGCAGTGAGGGCATGAAGCTGAGGGGACAAGCACAGGCTGTGAGAACACCCATGGTGCTGAGAAAACAGGGGCCCTCTTCTACCAAGCAAAACTAGCCAATGCACATGTCAACTGGAGAAGCAGGCTCCGACTGCTTGTGAGTTTCCACAGTCCTTTCTAAACTGTTCTACTGCCATCACAATTCCTTTGGCTGATAAATGATCAACATGGTTCGATGTTTAGGATACTTAAAATACTGAAAAACCCACATTAATTAAAAGTTGTATCTTCACATTTGTTCCACTTTCTTTTTTTTCTTTCTTTTTTGTGCCAGGAATGGGGCCTGAGCTTGGAGCCTAGCATTCTTAACTTGGCTTTTTCACTCAAGGTTGGTGCTTTGCCATTTCGCCACAGCTCTTTTTTTTTTTTTTTTTGGGTCGGGTCGTGGGGCCTGAACTCTGGGCCTGGGCGCTGTCCCTCAGCTCTTCAGCTCAAGGCTAGCACTCTACCACTTGAGCCACAGAGCCACTTCCGGCTTTTTTCTTTTTGCTTATGTGGTGCTGAGGAATCGAACCCAGGGCCTCATGCATGCAAGGCAAGCGCTCTACCACTGAGCCATCTTCCCAGCCCCCCACAGCTCTAATTGTGGCTTTTTTCCCAGTTAATTGGAGGTAAGAATCTTACAGACTTTTCTGCTTGGGCTGACTCTGAATGGAGATCCTCAGATCTCAGGCTCCTGAATAGCTAGGATTACAGACGTGAGCCACCAGCCCCTGGGCTTTGTTGTAGTTTCTAAGATCACATAGTTCATTTCAGGAAATCTTTATGTGCAGGCTCTTCTGGATATTTCCAATAGGCAAAGGCAAAACATAAAAACCCACAAAGTGAATGGAGACCAAACACATACCTCAGGCAGCTCAGTCAGGTCTCCTTGGTCGATGCCCTCATTAACTCGATAGTAGGTGTCTTTCATGAATCTGCCTACAAACTGGAAAGCATAGGCAGTGGCCAGAAGTGGAAATAGTTTATATTGCTGTGTTTGAAAATCCAAAATCTGTGGTTCTGGATCCCTACATTACATAGGAAAAAGAAAAATGAATATGGAACTTGCTGTGTGTCCAGTTCTAGTCTAAGCATTGGGCTGGATTCATTTACTTAAGCTTTATAAAGACCCTATAAAAAGCTACTATTATCATCTTCATTTTACAAATGAGAAAAATGAGGGGTTAAGCCCTAGTACACTGGGCTGAGCCAATGCAGGCATCCACGTTGAGAATTCTGAGACCACTCAGAGTACACTCTTACCCTGACTTGATTTCAGACTGGTGCCTCACGGCGCTGTATCGAATGGCAATGGTGCATGCCTTGGACAGAGACTGAGCTGCTGCTCCCACAAGGTAGGACCTGACGAACACCATGGTCCCGTAGGTCAGTTTATTACTGACAGGCTTTACGTACGTGCCATCAGGCTGCACCTGGAAGAACATGGGTGGGTTGATGCTTCTCTCTGTGAGCCCAAGGGGCAGTTTAGTGGATCTCCACACGGGTATCCCTGATGTACCAGCACATCCAGGATTTTGTCTGAGATACTAAATCCCACTCTCCACTCTGCCCCAATGAATCTCAAACTCTCAGAGCAAGGCCTGACAATGAGTTTTTACCCTCCAGGTGATTCTATAAGGCACATAAAAGCTTGAGAGCCATGGCTTTAGCAAGCTAGGTATGCTCTGCACCCCTGCCAACTGCTTTTGATTTCAATGTCCCACTATAAACATCAGAATTAAAATGTGTCACCTTTTGCAGCAGACTCTTATGGCCCCTACATGGGATGCCCCTGCTCCTGTCTCCTTCCCTTTTTTTTTTTTTTGGTCAGTCGTGGGGCCTGAACTCTGGGCCTGGGCGCTGTCCCTCAGCTCTATCATTAGTGCTAGTGCTAGTGCTCTAGACTAGTGCTCTATTACTTGAGCCTCAGCCCCACTTCCAGCTTTCTCTGCTTATGTGGTGCCTCATGCATACAAGGCAAGCACTCTACCACTGAGCCACCTTCCCAGCCCACTTCCTTTTTTTTTTTCAGTCATGGGGCTTGAACTCTGAACCTGGGCTCTGTCCCTCAGCTCTTCAGCTCAAGGCGAGTGCTCTACCACTTGCGCTACAGTGCCACTTCCAGTTTTCTGGTGGTTAATTGGAGATCAGAGTCTCACAGACTTTCCTGCCTGGGCTGGCTTTGAACCATGATCCTCAGATCTCAGCCTCCTATGTAGGTAGGATTACAGGCTTGAATCACTGGCGTCCCGTTCTGTCTCCTTCCTATCTAACATACCTGTGCATACTTCATTAGCATGTTCTCTCTGGGAATACGATAGTTGTCCATCTTCAGGTAGCCATTATCCATCTCTTCATAACCAAATTTGGGGCCAATGTCTCCAACAGAAATACCTACCACAGAAAACAGGAAACACATTTTTTGGGGGAAGTAGTAGTGGTACTAAAGATTGAACGCAGGGCCCCACAGACATGCTAGGCAAAAGTCCTACCACTGAGCTATACCCCCAGCTCTTTTGTAGTATTTTATTTATTTTTATTTTGGTGGTTGTGGGGCCTGAACTTTGGGCCTGGGCACTGTCCCTCAGCTCTTCAGCTCAAGGCTAGCACTCTACCACTTGATCACAGTGCCACTTCCAGCTTTTCTGCTTATGTGGTGTTGAGGAATCGAACCCAGGGCCTCATGCATTCAAGGCAAACACTCTAACACTGAGCCATCTTCCCAGCCCTTGCAGTATTTTATTTTGAGACTAGGTCTAAATTGCTCAAGCTGATGATTTGAACTTGTAATCCTCATGCCTCAGCCTCCCAAGCAGCTCTCACTACAGTCATGTCTGGGTGATGTGAGACATTTATGCTCTTCAATCCCTTTCTTTAGTTGTATCTTACACTTTTTTGTAGAGAAAAGCACTTGTTTTAACTTTTACTTACCTGGCAATGGCTTGTGGGTCCCCATTTCACGAATAGGTACAATGAAGGCATGCAATCCATAGCACTTCCCCTGAGTGTAGAGCTGGGCGAGAACTATGGCATGATTGGAAGTCTTCCCAACTGCAACATCAGACAGACAGGACAGAAGTGAGATACTGCTATATTTTTAAAGATCCATACAAAATGGATCTTTAAAATGGAAATCCATGCAAAATAAGAATCCCAACTCAAGAGCACAGAATGAAGAAAAGACACCAAATAAACATGTCAAAGCTATTTATAGTGAAAATTTGAAGACAACTCAAATTTTTGGCAAGGCAGCAATGACAAATAGAGGGCTAAGGCTGGAGCTCTATTGTAGAGCAACTTCCTAGCAATTGCTGGCTCTGGGTTCCATCCCTTGTACTATGGAAAAAATGATAGGGAATATTATTATTTCATTTTTTTAGAATGTATTAATATTTTAAATATTATCATCTTAAAACTACAGTACTATTCAGGGATGTTTAGATGAAAAACTAAAAAAAAAAAAAAGCCGGGTGCTGGTGGCTCACGCCTGTAATCCTAGCTACTCAGGAGGCTGAGATCTGAGGATCGCGGTTCAAAGCCAGCCCGGGCAGGAGAGACCATGAGACTCCTATCTCCAATAAACCACTAGAAAACCGGAAGTGGTGCTGTAGCTCAAGTGGTAGAGGGCTCGCCTTGAGCTGAAGAGCTGAGGGACAGCGCCCAGGCCCAGAGTTCAAACCCCCGACTGACAAAAAAAAAAAAAAAAAAGCCTGCAAAATACTCATCATTTCTATTTTTGTGTGTGTGTGTGTCGGTCATGGGGCTTGAACTCTGGGCTTGGGCGCTGTCCCTGTGCTCTTCAGCTCAAGGTGATTGCTCTACCGCTTGAGCCACAATGCCACTTCCGGTTTTCTAGTGGTTTATTGAAGATAAGAGTCCCATGGATGGCCTGGAAGGTGGCTCAGTGGTAGAGCGCTTACCTTGCATGCCTGAGGCCCTGGATTCGATTTCTCAGCACCACATAAGCAAAAAGAAAAAAGCCGTAAGTGGTGCTGTGGCTCAAATGGTAGAGCGCTAGCCTTGAGCTGAAGAGCTGAGGGACAGCGCCCAGGCCCAGAGTTCAGGCCCCATGACCGTACCCCCCCCCCAAAAAAAAAAGAGTCTCATGGAGGGCTAGGAAGGTGGCTCAGTGGTAGAGCGCTTGCCTTGCATGCATGAGGCCCTGGGTTCGATTCCTCAGCACAACATAAGCAGGGGAAAAAAAAAAAAAAAAGAGTCTCATGAACTTCCTGCCAGGGCTGGCTTTGAACTGTATCCTCAGATCTTAGCTTCCTGAGTAGCTAGAATTACAGGCATGAGCAACCAGTGCCCGGCGATAATCCTCATTTCTGTGGTACATAAAACAGAAATCTATATAACATGCACAAGAGGAGATGAAATAGCTTAATGTAGTTTAAGATTTACCCTCTGCTTTCTGTATTTCAAACAATATTCTCATATAAGCTCTAAATTCTAAATATAATCTCATAGTGGATCTACAAAATATTCAACAAATGTTCAAAGAATTCACTTACGCCCACCAGGCCACCATTTAATGGATGTAACTGTAGGACTGTTGAGAACGAACTCTTGGGTTTTGGGGTCATACGTGGCAGTGGTTTCTAAGCCTCGGAGATGAGTTCCTAAAAGAAGAAATTATATTCAATTCAGATAAAGCATGGGGGAAATAATCACTGCAGGATAAGATCTTTTTGCCTAGTCCTTCAAGCTCTAGAATTTCAGAGGAAAACAAGATCTGAAAGCAAGAGTCTCCCACATTTCACGTCTATAATGATCTAGTGCATCTGTAACAGTTACTCTGATGAATGAAAATGTACAGGCAGTTTGGATTAAAACAACAACAACAACAAAAACCCAAAAACCAAACAGTAACAATGTACGGATCTAACAAGAGAAGTTCACTGCCACCATTTTACCCCATCTCTAGGGTTCTTTTTTCTTTTTTTTTGGTTGTGGGTCTTGAACTCCAGGCCTGGGTGCTGTCCCTGTGCTCTTCAGCTCAAGGTCAGCGCTCTACCACTTGAGCCACAATGCCACTTTGGTTTCCAGGTGGTTTATTGGAGATAAGAGTTTCGTACTCTCCAGCGCGGGCTGGCTTTGAACCATGATCTTCTTATCACACCTCTGGAGTATCTAGGATTACAGGCATGAGCCACCAGCGCCCAGATTTTTGTTGTTGTTGTTGTTGCAAGATCAGGACTAGAATTCCATACCTGATACTTTGCACATTGGCTGGCATTATACCAACTGAGCCATGAGTCCAATCCCCCATCTCTAAGTTTCAAGTGTGCCAATTCCCGCAACTCAGCACCTTGGAATGTGCTGATAGACTTCAGCTAATGTTTTTGTAAGCTGTGAACTTTATCAGAGTGAATGCTAGAATGTTAAAGGTTTATTTGTTAGAAAAAGTGAATTTTAAAAATTCTTCTAAGGGCCAAACAGTAAAGCTTGCATTCACCCTGTAAATTTTTTTGTCGGTCATAGGACTTAACTCAGGACCTGGGTGCTGTGCCTGAGCTTTTCTGCTCAAGGCTAGTGCTTTGCCATTTTGAGCCACAGCTCCATTTCCAATTTTCTGGTGGTTAATTGGAGACAAGAGTCTTGCAGACTTTCCCGCCCAGGCTGGCTTTGAGCCCTGCTCCTCAGATCTCAGCCTCCTGAGTAGCTAGGATTACAGGTATGAGCCACTGATGCCTAGACACCCTACCGAGTTCTAATGCCAGGCCTTAACTTAATCCTAGTGTTCCCGAATGTGATAAAGAAGAGTTCCCAGTTTTGTGTGTTTACCAGAGATAAATAACACACCAGGACATCTGCCAAAATTCCTTGAAGAGTTATAAAAAACAAAACAACAACAAAAACATGTCTTGGTGGCATTTTCTCTAATAATACTTGTACTGAGGACCTTTTTTTTTTTTTTACATCAAACTAGACCTCACTGAACACTTGGAAATATTTAGAAACTTCTAAATTGAGTAACAGAAATGGCCAGTTTACATGTGATCTGAATGGGAGTCAAGAAAGTAGAGACTTCGGAAATTCCTTTACCAAAGATGATTTTACAGAAAAAAAAGGCACCTTAAACATAACAAAGACAAATGTTTTCAAATGTGTAACTGAGCTGAATAGTGTTCCATTTGCAGTTTTAAAAAGTTCCCATAAGGAAGTGGCGCTGTAGCTCAAGTGGTAGAGCACTCGCCTTGAGCTGAAGAACTGAGGGACAGCGCCCAGGCCCAGAGTTCAAGCCTCATGACTAACAAAAAAAAAAAAAAAAAGTTCCCATAAAATATTAGTCAGCCCTGAGTAAGAAGAGCCCAGAGTGGAAAGAAGTTGGCAGAAGTAAACGAATGGCAGAGATAGCAATTCAGCAGCGATGATGAGAGGAACGGTTGGCACCCTCATTCCAATCTAGATATGTGAAGAATGGCAGGTGGGGGTGGTGAGAAAAAAGAAAGATGTTTCACATAGAATTTGAAGCAAATGCCTAGGAATACAATTTTTCTTAATTTCTAACCTCTGGCCAAGCTACCTTCAGAACTTTTTTTTGCATTTATTGAATCAAGGAACAAATAATTTCTAAGCACAAAAGGCTGCATGTTCTGATTATAAGAAGCTATTAATTCCCCTTATGCAAGTCAAAAAGCACCCAAACCTTGACTGTGTATTTCTTCTGAGATTTGTAAAGGTTGCATTAGGGTATCAGTAAGTATTTAGAGATTAATGAATATAATGGATCGGATCAGGTTCTAGGTACACAGGTTCTACACTACTTGAATGAACTTGAAGAAAAGTCATGTGGTAAGGAAAGCCTGACTTTCTTACTGATCTCCTGATGAGGATACATGAAAAAATAATCAGTAAATCACTAGAATAATACAATGTTTAATTTTCACTAACCAAAAACCAATGTCCATGTACAAAGCTGGCATGCTGCAGGAGAATCTCATCTAAAAAGACTACCATATATTGACACACTAGCATCTGGCAGGCACGCCCTATGTGTCTAGCTGGTGAGGCCTGCCCCACCCAGAAGGTAGACAGAATGCACTGTACCATGACCCATCTCTGTCTGGGCATAAGTGCCAGTGATCTCCAAATTCCAGGCTGGCATGAAGAAGCGCTCCTGCTGCTCTGCGGTGGCCTGGTGAAGCAAGGTGGGCAGGAACATGCCCAAGTGAAGATCCAAAGGTTCGGGCCGCCCTCGGTGCACAAAGCTTCGAAGAATTACCAAGGATGGACATTTGAGAGAAGCATCATCAGGTGTAAGAGAATCAACAATTTACAGACAGAGCAAGGGAAGGAGAAAAAAAAAATCTTCGGTGAGTATGGATTAGTTAAGTGCACTTCATTACGGATGGGAGCACTGCCCCTTTCTGTATTGCTTTATGATTCTCAGCAATTTTCATTGCTTGTAGCAGGATCCATTCAGAGATCACAGCCCATACAGCACAATACCGTGTGTATGAGACAGAGACTCTGACCTGACAATGGATGGAAATGAAACTTTTGGAGAGATTACATGGAATAGAGAATTAAGGTGGCACAAGTGCTTACTGGAATGGGAAGGAGACAGAATGCAATATAATCTCCTAGAGTAAGGTTTTGTTCCAGATGCAACTTAATTAATGCTTCTAGGCAGGGATATTTTGTCCATAGAATATCCAGCATCAGATCCAGATTCATCATGTCGAATATTCAGTCATGCCCTACTAAAACAAATACAAAAATCGACAGTGCTCTTCATCTCAATAATTTCAGAAATTAAAAAGCATGCAATTTCTAGTGAAAATCATAACAATTACAAACACAGATTTGTGTATAATAACTTTGTCATTACAATTATGTACTAAATATCACAAATGATAATAAACACCTTGTTTCGGTCTTAAATCCATTTTCTGGTTAATTATTGTCCATTAAAAGTTTACAAGCATTGTCTGGATATAGTGGTGCATACTTGTAATCCCAGCATTTAAGAAGATAGAAAATTTGAGACCAGCTTGACACATATAGTGGGTATGAGGCTACTCTGGGTTACATACAAAGACCCTTCTTTAAAAAGACAAAAGCTGAGCACCAGTGGTTCATGCCTGTAATCCTAGCTACTCAGGAGGCTAAGATCAAAGGATCATGGTATGAAGCAAGGCTGGGCAGAAAAGTCTATAACAGTCTGTATCTAATTAAGTGGCAAAAACGCTGATGTGGGGATATTGCTTAAGTGTTAGACACCAGCCATGAGCAAGAGAGCCTGATGCCGAGTTCAAGCCACAATATAAAGAAACGTCATCATCTACTTGTCTTCTGGGTGAGGAAATTATTGCATAAGTACAACATAGGATATACCAAAAACCTAAAGCTATCCTTGGAAGGATGACAAGTGGAAATTCCACAAGATGTTATCACTTGTAGAAACTGGGTAAAAGATTTATAAATTCTCTTGGTACTATTGGTACTATTTTTGAAACTTCCTATGAATTTACAATCACTTCAAAATTAAAAAGAAAAAAAATTCCCATAAAAACACAGCATGAGGGCTGGGAAGGTGGCTCAGTGGTAGAGCGCTTGCCTTGCATGCCTGAGGTCCTGGGTTTTCCCCAGCACCACATAAGCAAAAAGAAAAAAAGCCGGAAGTGGCGCTGTGGCTCAAGTGGTAGAGCGCTAGCCTTGAGCTGAAGAGCTGAGGGACAGCGCCCAGGCCCAGAGTTCAGGCCCCACAACTGGACCCAAAAAACAAACAAACAAAACTAAAGGGTATCACTCAAGTGGGAGTGTTTGTTTAACAAGCTCTAGGCCCTAGGTTCAACCTTCAGTACTACAAACAAAATAAATTTTAAAAATTAAAAATGAACTTGGAGTCTCAGGTTTGGAGTATATCTCAGTAGTAGAATTTTTATTTACTATGCTCAAGAGCTGAAGAGTTGAGGGACAGTGCCCAGGCCCACGACAGGACCGGACCCAAAAAAATAAAGTAAAATAAAAAATATATAAATATAAATAAATAAATTATATATATATAGTATATATATATATACATATATATACACACACACACACACTCTTAGCAGAGTAGTAGGTCAAACTACTACCATCAGAAATGTTATAAGGAGAAAGGGACAGTTTTGTTTTTTACTTAAACCAAGTATTTAATGTAAAATGTTGATGATTCATGATAATGACTAAATATTACTTTAAAATCATTTATTATAAAATAACAAAGCACCAACATTGTATTAGCCAAGTGATAGCGAGTTCTTTGTAACTGTAACATCTCTCTATCCACAAGGTTCAAGACTGGAAAGGCTAACAGCCCACACAGGATGGACACACACACACACACACACACACACACACACACACACACACACACACACACACACACACACACACACACACACACACACACTTAATAATAAATGGGGGAGGAATAAAATTAAAATAGCATCTCTGTGCACAGCATGATTATAATCCTAGGATATCAAGAGCAACAAAACACCAGCAATAATAAGCAAATTGAGAACAGAAATAGTCTATAAGGGAAAAAAAAGAAAATCAACTGCATTCTTAAGATCATTCACTTAGAAAACCCAGTGAAGAGAAAGACAATTTATGAAGAAACCAAAATTTTAAATTTTAATTAAGCAACTTAGCTCAGGATATAAAACATGTATTTAAAAATACAAGGCCTGAGTTCAATTCCCAGAATAAATAAAAATTTAAGAGACAGAATTCAAATTCCTAATGCAGCATGAATAAAAAAATATGCAAGATGAGGGACAGCGCTCAGGCCCACAGTTCAGGCCCCACGACCAGACACCCCCCCAAAAAAAAAATACATATGCAAGAGTTGACTGCTAGTAGCTCACACCTGTAATCCTAGCTATTTAAGAGGCTAAAATCTGAGGATCAGTTCAAAGCCAGCCCAGATAGAAAAGTATGAGACTCTTTTATTTTGGCTGGTTATGGGCTTGAATTCTGGGCCTGCGCACTGTCCCTGAGCTCTTCAGCTCAAGAAAAGCGCTCTACCACTTGAGCCACAGTGCCACTTCCGCTTTTCTGGTGGTTAATTGGAGATAAGAGTCTCACAGACTTTCCTGCTCAAGTTGGCTTTCAACTGTGATCCACAGATCTCAGCCTCCTGAGTAGCTAGGATTACAGGTATGAGCCACCAGTGCCCAACTTGCCTACATATTTCTAAAAAACACTACAGGAATTTTTAATTAATGTAGTATTACAGTCTTTATTTTCTTGGGAAGAGCTGTTAGTCTTCTCAGATGAGAAAAAAGACAGACAAAAAAGAAAAAAAAATACGTAGGCAAGAGTACCAAATATGTTTATCTTGATATATTAACAATGGGTTTATCCTATCAGATTTAAAAATATATTACAAGCAACTAGACAAATTTATGTCAGAAGACAAAAATAATCAGTATAAGCCAGGCCCTGATGGCTCACACTTATAATCCTAACTACTCAGAAGGCTGAGATCTGAAGGTGGTGGTTTGAAGCCAATCTTGGGAAGAAAAGTCCCTGTGAGACTCTTATCTCCAATTAATCACTCAAAAACTGGAAGTGGGGCTGAGACTCAAAGTTGTAGAGTGCTAGCCTTGAGTAAAAGAGCTCAGGGACAATACCCAAGTCCTGAGGTAAAGCCATACAACCAACATAATAATAAGAACAAAAAAAAGGAGGAGGAAGAGGAAGAAAAGGAGGACTATAGTTAAGGTTCCAGAAAAAAAATTAAACTATTACAAAATTCTCAGCAAGCTAGAAAAACAGGAAGGAGAGCCACTAGTTGACAGACGTAAGAAATCTAAGCCTAGGGCCAGTGGCTCACGCCTGTAATCCTAGCTACTCAGGAGGCTGAGATCTGAGGATCGCAGTTCAAAGCCAGCCTGGGCAGGAAAGCCCCTGACGCTCCTATCTCCAATAAACCACTAGAAAACCTGAAGTGGCACTGTGGCTCAAGTGGTAGAGTGCTCGCCTTGAGCTGAAGAGCTGAGGGACAGCGCCCAAGCCCAGAGTTCAAGCCCCAGAACCGACAAAAAGAAAAGAAAAGAAAAGAAAACCTTATGGGATTCATTCTCACACTGTATCATATACAAGTCAAAGCATGAAATACAAACCAAACCAAAGGAGAAGAAAACAGAAAATAATTATCCAAGTTATAGAAAGGAGAAAATTTGTAACTACTCAGAGTAAGCACGTTGAATAACTCACGCTAAAAAAAATTCAACAAAGCAGAAAATAGTAGAAAAAAGATGGATATAATACCATCAGGTAAGATCAATATACAGACCCTATTTAAATACTTTAATACTCGAGAGGTAAAAAAAAAACCCTCATTTTATACACAGAAAATGCAAACAGCAAGTCAAAATATGCAATAATATCCAGGATCACTAGGAATTATACATTAAAACTTTATTTTTTGCCAGGACTGGTACTTGCACTTGGCTCTCCCCACTCAAGGCCAGGTGCTCAACCACCTGAGCCATGCCTCGAGTTCCAGCTCTTTGCTAGCTCACTGTTTAGTCTGCCGTCCCTACTGGATTGTCAGTCGCAGCCTCCTGAGTAGCTAGGACTACAGACCTGAGCTTATAGGCCTGATGCCCAATTAAAAAATTAAACATTTAAATGTTAGCTATCTATTAAAGTGACCATGTTGCTAGGGCTATGGAGACACAGGAACATTAAGATGTTACATATATTGTAAACTGGTTCTAGGAAAAGCTTGTAATTATGCAATAAACATTACAAAATGTTTATTCTCTCCAATGCAGTTATTCATCTCTGAGAAAGATATTCTGAAGGTACAACGCCAAAATGCCAGGTACCAATCCTAGAGACTTGTTCATGCCTAGAGCTACATACCTCTAGCCCCAAAATACAGGTCCTCCAAAGATGCTATTATCAGTTGGGTTCAGGTAGCTCATGCCTGTAATCCTAGCTACTCAGGAGACTGAGAACTGAGAATCACAGTTCAAAGCCAGCCTGGGCAGAAAAGTCTGTGAGACTCTTAGCTGTAATTAACCACCAGAGAACCAGAAATGGTGCGCTGTGGCTCAAGTGGTAGAGCACTCACCTTGAACCGAAGAGCTCAGGGACAGCACCCTAGCCCAAAGTTTAAGCCCCACAACCGACCAAAAAAAAAAAAGGTACTATCATCACTGCTGGTAAGGAAACTAGAATAACCCAATACTAGGGAAAAAATCTCATGGGAGTCCAAGAAGAAAAGGATCACTTGGGAGAGGATAGTGGGAAAGTTGTGAGAAAAAGACGAATGACAGAACAGCAAGTTCACTACCTGTTTTTCAAGTTTATAAGGAAGAAAAGTGTTTTGTTACATATTTACATTATCCATGAGGGGGAATCTACAAAGACATTGTAGCCTTCTTTTAGGAGAACTATATTATATAAGTAAGATTTACATTCCTAAAGGATAATTTTCCTAGGAAACATCCCTACCTCAACATGTCTAAGAGCAAGCACACTACCTGCCTTGTGATCTAAAGAAATGTATGGTCATAATGGTAATGTTGGAGCAAGTTCTATAGGCCACTCCTTCAAACCCAGAATCCTCAGGGAGCACTGTTCTTCAGCACGGTCCATGACCTTTGACTAATGTCACAGAGCCAGTATCTGAAGTTTCCTGGCATGCATGCATGCCTTTACAGGAAAGGCACACTCTAGAGGGCAAAGATAAGCGGACAGGAACACTTTCCACAGGTGACTGGCTTGCCTCTTAATGGAGAGGGTCTTTTTTACCTATCTTCAGAAGCTAATATTGTCACATAATACAAACTAACCAACAAACCAACTAGCTTACATACATGTCAATGACCGAAAGTCAAGAAAGAACATAAAATTCCAGCAAGAAGCAAAACTTAATCTTACAAAAAGGCAAAATTGGCTCAAAATATACTGAACTGGAGGCTATGTGGGAAAGAAAATTTAAAATACAAACTTGCCTATAGCAACATGGGATCAAAGTCCAATTTTTTTTTTTTTTGCCAGTCATGGGGCCTGAACTCTGGGCCTGGGCACTGTCCCTCAGCTCTTCAGCTCAAGGCTAGCGCTCTACCACTGGAGCCACAGTACCACTTCCAGCTTTTTCTGCTCATGTGGTGCTGAGGAATCGAACCCAGGACCTCATGCATGCAAGGCAAGCACTCTACCACTGAGCCACCTTCCCAGCCCCTCAAAGTCCAATTTCTATTCTTATCACAGTAAGTTCAGAATTTCATTTCTTTTACTCTCAATTTGAAATTCAGGGAAAATAGATGTGACGTATTTTGTAAACAAAGGCAGAAACAGACAAACAAGCCCCGGAGTATTTCACATGTCTCCTATGAATGATACATGATTATTAAAGTTAAATACAATCTACAATAAATACTAAAACAAGCCGGGTGCTGGTGGCTCACACCTGTAATCCTAGCTACTCAGGAGGCTGAGATCTGAAGATTGTGGTTCAAAGCCAGCCCAGGAAGGAAAGTCCATGAAACTCTTATCTATAATTTATCACTAAAAAGCTAAAAGTGAGGCTCTAGAGCTAGTTTTGAGCAAAAAAGCTCAAGGACAGTGTCCAGGCCATGAGTTCAAGCTCACAGCACAAAGAATACTTGAAAAAAAAATGAGAGTGCTATACTAAAAACTATTTTAAGATTACAAAATCTGAATGCTGACAAGTTACATGGATCCATGCAACTTATGTACGTGCAAACTCCAGGAAGGGTGTATCTTCCTTGCCTTAGGTAACCTTTTGTCAGGCTGTAAATTCAGCACCTGTGTCCCGACTCTGGAATCCCAGGTGTTTAGGAAGGTGTTTATAGTAGAAGACCATAAACAGAATCTAGTCTTCACTAGATTCTTCACTGATTGGGATCGATGTATTCCTTAAGCCAATTCCATAAATCAAAAAGCAACCGAATAACAAAATGAAATTTTTCCAGATTCTCACAATGCTTCTTCCTTCCCTTTCTTTACTCCTTCCTGTGATAGTGAGGGATGAGACTGAGTGGCTCCCACCTGGTTTAAATGGGAAGTCTTGATGTGGGTTGCCCATGGACCCTCAGATTCAGACTAACCGTGGCCCATTTCCGTCTGGGCGTAGGTGCCAATTATCTGGAGTTCCTGGGACGCGTTCAGCCATTTCTCTTGCTGAGCAGTGGTGCCCTGATTCAGCAAGGTAGGAATAAACATGGAGTAATTGAGGCCCACAGGTTCCACAAAATTGACCAATTGTAGTCTACAGGAGAGAAAAAAAAAGGATCTCAGCCTTACTCTAGAAACTACATCCTACCAGTAACCATTCATTCCTATCACATATGCTTGACCTTCAGCATGAAGACTAAGCTGAAACCCCTTTCTTATGAAATTAAATGTAAAACTAACCATTTACTATCTAAAAAGCCAAGAGCAGGACCTGAAGCATTTCAGCATCCCAATGCCCTTTCACCTTGACTTTTTCTGGTGCTGGAGATGGTAGCTAGAACCACCCAGCCACATCTCTAATTTCCAGATTTCTCTTTAAATCTACACTTAATCCAAAACAATTCATTCTGTTGGTGTTATCTGCTGGTTTGATGGGTTGGATTTTGCTTTAAGATCCCTATTTACATATTTACACACAAATGGTCACAAAACTCACCAAGAACACTTTCCACTTTTCAGTCTGTTTGATATACTAGTCACCAACACAACCTTTTCTGCTGATTAGAAAACTATTCTGGTAATGAAGGAAAAAGAAATTCTTGCAAATTATGACTGGCCAGATATTTTAGTATTTGTTTGTGCATTACTTTCAGGTTTGGCTTGTTTCAAAGACAAAATGACATTCCACAGAATTGTTAACAAAACCTCCTAAGAATAATATATATATATTTTTTTGTCGGTGGTAGGGCTTGAACTCTGAGCCTAGGCGTTGTCCCCGAGCTCTTCAGCTCAAGGCAAGCGCTCTTACTACTTGAGCCTCAGTGCCACTTCCGATTTTTTGAGTGGTGTATTGGAGATAAAAGTCTTACAGACCATGATTCTCAGGTCTCAGACTCCTGAGTAGCTAGAATTAAAGGCTTGAGCCACTGGCACCTGGCTAAGAATAATTTAAACTACCTTTCCCTAGATGATCTAAGTAAACATTATGAAGACATTCGATGAAATAATCAAAATAGGGATTACACACCCTGGTTAACATTAGCTATGTTGTCCTGTAGCTGTTCTAAGGGTCTGTTGTATACATTTTTTTTTTTTTTTTGGGTCTGGTCGTGGGGCCTGAACTCTGGGCCTGGGCACTGTCCCTCAGCTCTTCAGCTCAAGGCTAACGCTCTACCACTTGAGTCACAGCGCCACTTCCAGCTTTTTTTTTCTTTTTTGCTTATGTGGTGCTGAGGAATCAAACCCAGGGCCTCAAGCATGCAAGGCAAGCGCTCTACCACTGAGCCACCTTCCCAGCCCTGTTGTATACATTTTTCCTTGCATTTTATTATTTTTCTCAAGTTTTTGGTTGTAGTTGGCAAAAGTGGTATGTGTGTGTGCCTACACTTTCTATCAGTGTGACCAAATACCTGAGCCAAACAATTTAAGGAGTGGGGCTGGAGACTTTGCTCAGGGTTTCAGAGCTTTCAAGCCATCACGAAGGGAAGGGTATGGCAGAGCCGGGCAGTGGAAACAGAAGCCTATTCTGTACTTTGACCTTGTTGTATACCTAAAGAGCTTAAAGTACAGTTTACACCTCACCTAAGCAATCTTGACTTCTCCAGGCATAACTAGAAATGCTGTCACCACCAGTTTATTTTGGCTTATGAAACAGCGCAGCACAGACCAAGGAAAGAAGGGAAGATCTTCACTCCACTGTGGGAGACCCTAAAGCCATTCCCATAGCCTTCAAGGAAGCAGTAGCACATGTACTGTATACTCTCTGATTGTCCTATTTCCTCAAGAAATCACAACTCACTTAGAAACAATTCTCCATGGAGGCTCTTAAATATTAAATACTTTCAATTAGCCAAAATTAATTAATTATTACAAGTGCTCCCAAAGGAAGTAACTTTTGTGCCCAAGTACTTTTGGTAAAAGTCAACAAAAGCTGCTCATTAGCATCAGTGGAAAATATTTTCTTGCTACCAATAGTTTCAATCATACCTTGAGGGTAAAAGTCACTTTTAGTGGGGATTGTAGTTCAATGGTAGAGTGCTGGTCTAACTAGTACAAGGGTCTAGATAGCGAGCAGAGGAGGAGAAAAGAGATGCTGGGTCAAACATGTAAACCAAGAGATAACCAACTAGTAAACATCTAAATGAACAACAATTAAATACACAAATCTAAGCTAGGAGCATGGCTCAGGTAATAGAATCCTTGCTTAACAAGCATGAGACCCTGATCTCTAGCTCTGGGGGGAGAAAATTCCATACTCTAGGACTTCTACTGACATCCAGAGTTGGTTTAAACTAGGAGTATGAAGAAAAGGCAAGGTAGTTTTCAAGAACTTCAAGGGAGCAGCATCTCACTTCCCTGTACACAAGTTCCATAATTCACAAAATGGACTTCTCACAGAAACAAGCACCAAAAGCCTGGTGAGATGGATACACAGACAGGAACGGCACAGTGCACAGGCATTCTGTGTTTCTCTAAAACCAACAGTTACACATTTCCAATTCCCTTCTAAATACACAGAGAGGAAAAGAATACACCAGAATTTCTGAGAAAAAAGCACTAATTAAGGTACCAAAACTGGTACAACGTCTCACTCTATTTCCCATGAGGGAAATGAGAGGGATGAGTAATCTAGTTAAGTCCTTTGAGAATTACAAAATGTCCCAATAAGGGTATTAATTCAAAGGTAATTTTAGGAAACAGAGAAAAATGGTATACATACAAAAAAAAACATTAAATATTTTTTGTTCTTAAAATACTAAGATTTTCTTTTTTGAGGCTATGTGAAATAACTCAAGAACAAAATGCTTAAAAGAAGGCTTGTACTTAAATGCTTAATCCCTCCTAAGATGCTTTCCAAGAAATAGCTTTAATTACTTTTATAATTTTTTGAGTGTGCTAGGGATTGAACACAGGGTCTTGAGCATGCTAAGCATGTGCTCTGCCACTGAGCTATGCCTCCAGCCTCAAGCACACCAACTTTAAAAACCATAGATCCTAGCTGGACACTGGTGGCTCATGCCTGCAATCCTAGCTACTCAGGAGGCTGAGATCAGAGGATCGAGGTTCAAAGTTAGGGACAGTGTCCAGGCCCAAGTTCAAGACCCAGGACCTGGAAAAACAAAACAAAACAAGCCACTGGCTGCTAAGATTTAAAAAAAATAAAAAAATAAAAAGCAAAAAGCTGGCTGGTGTCCATGATCTTTACCCCATATAAAAGAACTTTATCCTAGTTCATTGTGATTCATTAGAATCTGGTTACACATTATGAACCACAAGTTATGAAAATTACCCCTGCTCTGAAACATGTTGCATTATCCACTTTTAAAAAATCTCACCTGGGCTGGGATGTAGCTCAGTGGCAAAGCGCTTGCCTAGCAAGCGCAACGTCCTGGGTTCGATCCCCAGTACCAAAAAAAAAAAGAAAAAAAAAAAAAAATACAGTTAAAAAATCTCGCCAGGCGCCAGTGGTTCACACCTGTAATCCTAGCTACTCAGGAGGCTGAGATCTAAGGACTGTGGTTCAAAGCCAGCCCAGGCAGGAAAGGCCATGAAACTATTTCCAATAAACCACCAGAAAACCGGACGTGGTACTGTGGCACAAGTGATAAAGTCATTGAGCTGAAGAGCTCAGGGACAGCAATCAGGCCTGAGTTCAAGACCCAGGACCCACACAAAAAAATCTCTCTTCTTCCATTTACTTTAAGAAATATTGGGCTTAAGCCGGGCGCTGGTGGTTCACGCCTGTAATCCTAGCTACTCAGGAGGCTGAGATCTGAGGATCGCAGTTCAAAGCCAGCCCGGGCAATAGAGACCGTGAGACTCCTATCTCCAATAAAACCACCAGAAAACCGGAAGTGGCGCTGTAGTTCAAGTGGTAGAGCGCTGGCCTTGAGCTGAAGATCTGAGGGACAGCGCCCAGGCCCAGAGTTCAAGTCCCACGACCGACCAAAAAAAAAAGAAAAGAAATATTGGGCTTAAATTTGGGGCCTTGAAGCATTTCTTTCCCTTTAGCTGCTCTTAAACTTGAGCCACACTGCTAATTCTGTCTGACTTATTACTGATTAACTGGAGGTTAAAAGCCTCTCAGGACCAAGGGCCAGTAGCTACCACCTAAAATCCTAGCAACTAAGGAGGCTGAGATCTGAGGATCATGGTTCAAAGTTAGTCTGGGTAGGAAAGACCATGAGACTCTTATCTCTAACCACCAAAAAGCCCAAGTTTCAAGAGGCAGAGTGCCAGTCATTAGTGAAAAGGCTAAGAGAGTACCCAGCCCCTAAGCTCAAATATTAGTAGTACTGGGACATCCACACAAAAAAGATCTTACTAGATCTGCCTGGGCTGGCTTTGAACTCAGATCCTTAGATTTCAGCCTCCGAGTAGCTAGGATTATAGGTTTGAGCCACAGGTGTCTGGCTAATTTTTACTAACTTTGCTAGGATGTACTCTGAGCCGAGATCCCCAACAGCCATGAATTACAAACTTGAGAAACAAAAATAAGTATTTAACTGGGTATTTAGTATTTACACTGGTATTTATTAATTGATGATACTGTGACTTACAATAAATAAAGGCAAAACAATGAGTAAACAAACAAATGTTCGGATCAGTACTGGGGCTTGAATTCCAGGCCTTGTACTCTGGCTAGGCTTTTTTAATCATGTTTGGAATTTTACCACTTTGAACACCGCTAGTTAACTGGAAATAAGAATTTCTACGATGTGTCTGCCAGGGCTGGCTTCAAACCCCCATTCCATCTCAACTTCCTAAGTAGCTAGGATTTCAAGTGTGAGCCATCTGTTCAGTGCTTGGGTAACAGAGGATTTTTTTTTTTTGGTCAGTCTTAGGGCTTGAACTTAGGGCCAGGGTGCTGTCCCTGAGTTTTACCACTTTGAGCCACTGTACTACTTCCAATTTTCCAGACTTTTCTGCTTGGGCTGGCTTTGAACTGCAGTCCTCAGATCTCAGCCTCCTGAGTAGCTATTTTTTGTTTGTTTGTTTGTCAGTTGTGGGGCCTGAACTCTGGGCCTGGGCGCTGTCTCTTAGCTCTTCAGCTCAAGGACAGCACTCTATCACTTGAGCCACAGTGCCACTTCTGGCTTTTTCTGCTTATGTGGTGCTGAGGAATTGAACCCAAGGCCTCATTCATGCAAGGCATGCACTCTACCACTGAGCCACCTTCCCAGCCCCCAGAGAGTATTTTTGATAGATGAAACAGTAGAGCTGTGGGAAAAAATTTCCAATTTCTTTGGGGATTTTCTTCTAATAAACTCGTTTATGTTCACAATAATAACCTATCAACTTGTAAACAGACACCAAATACAATAGTGGCAGTAGTATAAGGGAGTTATAATTACATGTTTCATCCATTTTGGTTCTTGAAAATTCATAAATTTCATTTTTTAAGGTACTATGAATTGAACCCAGGGTTTTGAACATGCTAGGCAAGTGACCTCCCATGGAAGCTACATCTCTAACCTAAATTTTAACTTTTTTTTTGTTGTTGTTGTTGGTCATAGGGCTTGAACTCTGGGCCTGGACTCTGTCCCTCAGCTCTTCAGCTCAAGTCCAGCACTCTTCCTATTGAGCCACAGTGCCACTTCTGGTTTTCTTTTTTTTTTTTTGTCGGCCGTGGGGCTTGAACTCTGGGCCTGGGCACTGTCCCTCAGCTCTTCAGCTCAAGGCAAGCGCTCTACCACTTGAGCTACAGCGCCACTTCCGGTTTTTCTGGTGGTTTATTGGAGATAGGAGTCTCACGGTCTCTCCTGCCCGGGCTGGCTTTGAACAGCGATCCTCAGATCTCAGCCTCCTGAGTAGCTAGGATTACAGGCGTGAGCCACCAGCGCCCGGCTACACTTCTGGTTTTCTGAGTGGTTTACTGGAGATAAAGAGTCTCATGGACTTTTCCTGCCTGGACTGGCTTTGAATTGCGATTCTCAGATCTCAGCCTCCTGAGTAGCTAGAGTTACAGGCTTGAGCCACCAGTATCTGGCCCCAAATTTATTGATAACAATATTGGAGCTCTTTCTCTTTATGCCAAAATAATCTTGTACTAGAGTGTTTACTAAAGCTAAGGAGCAAAGTATCCCTATTTCTATATATTATTTAAAAAGCACAAGAACAGATTGTCTGAAAAAGGACATACTCTCTCCAACACTAAGACCAAAGCAGGCATGTTTTATACACTTGATCTTAACCAAAAGACCAAGAAAGTGACCAAGGTAGATGCTTATGCCCAAGACAGCCATTTAACTCTCAATAAATTCAGCAATGCTGGCTTCTTAGAATTCCATATTCCTTCTGAGGCTGACTGAGGTTCTTCACTTCATTCACCCTTCTATGAAGATTGTCATCAGCAAATAAAAATATGATCTGCTACTGCCTCAAAATACTTAAAATGTCTTGGGTCATCAACTGAAAAAAAATCCTTCAAAATTCAGAAAACTTAGCCAAGCAGCTTCCCTTTTATAAAACAAAGGACTAGGTATTTTACATTTAAATAACTCAAAATTAAGATGCCTGGAGCAACATAATCTTTTTTTTGGGGGGGGTCCGTTGTTGGGGCCTGAACTCTGGGCCTAGCCGCTGTCCCTCAGCTCTTCAGCTCAAGGCTAGCGCTCTATCACTTGAGCCACAGTGCCACTTCCGGCTTTTTTTCTTTTTGCTTATGTGCTGCTGAGGAATCGAACCCAGGGCCTCAGGCATGCAAGGCAAGAGCTCTACCACTGAGCCACCTTCCCAGCCCCCAAAATAATCTTTAAATGAGATTTTGGAGTTGAGAATGAGAACTCTAGCATGTTTATTCATGCTAGATACCACAGAAATCACATTACTTTTCCATACATAAAGCCTTAATGTGACATGATACTTCCAACTTGGAACCTTCAAATAAATGTCAAGCACAAAGACCAACTTAACTGTACAGTCTGGACTTGGAGTATTTGCCCCGGGCTAAGTTAAAAGCATACCTACCTTTTAAACCACATGATTTCATTAGGGTCTGCAATGCCAAACTCCCTTATCTTCTTTACCATGATGGCACTCTTCTTGACAGCCGCCTCATAACGCTGGCTGCGAGTGAGGAAGTTATAGTCCTCATGCTGGAAATCTGGGTCATTCACAATCAAGTCCTCTGCAAAGAGAGTGAAGAACAAGAAGACTGACATCACCTCTCAATCAGCAGGTCTGAATAAAGGGCGGTGCGCCCCCCCCTTCCAACCCAGCCACAGTGGGGGCTCCCCGCTAAACCTCACAGCGCCCTCCTCCGTTCCTCCCCAAGGTGAGGTCCCAAGCCTGGCGGGGGGTGGGGGTGGGGCGGGGAGGCTCGGCCGGCCGCACTCACCGATCTCCCGACGACGCCGGGTGTTCTCGGGACCCCCGTCCAGGATGTGTGTGATGAGCTCCGGGTTGAAGGTGGCGGAGGCCCGCTCCCTGCGCAGGTCGGGGTTCATGGTGTCGGCCAGTGCCAG